TCCTAATGGAATGCATAGCTTAGTACAAGTTTCATAATACTTTTTTTTTTCAGCAAGTGCTTTAATAATACCTAGTGAATGATTATACATCCAGCTTTTTTAATTACTTATGTTAACATGATCTACATCATCCAAAAGAAAACAATAAATTGAAATGGCCGATGCAAAATAATACACATTATTCATTGCTGTGAGCAGATGGATTAAAGCTGAAAAAATAACATTATATTATAATTTGGACTATGGTTTAACAAAGCAAATTATCATTCCAAATTATGACAAAGTAGCTCTTAAAATGCTCGACATCTTTAGACAACTGTTGAAGAAAAACTACAATCAATAGTAAGGCATGGCTTTTTTACACCTTGTTTTATAACTTATTTTTATAAAGGTCGTCAGAGGAGGGTAGGAAAAAAAATTTAAAAAGTTTGTTTTCTTAATTTAGCAAATAGTTTTGCCAAAAACATCCAGGAGGAGGAAAAAATAAACATTTTATTGGTGAATATAAACAGTGTAGTAAGGGGGTAGTTAAATGCGTTAAATTTGTATAATTAGAAAGAAATATAAATATCTCATTTTTGGAGACTTCAAGGCAGCAGTGGGCATAATAAAAATTAAAAACGTCGATTTTTTTTCCTGAAATTTTCTTTTTTCGGGCAATAGAAAGTACTAAATGGTAGTATTTTTTTGCCCTGTCGTGCAATGAGCAATTTCTATGCCGTGTTGACGCTGAGAGATTGGTCTTTTGATCATGCTAGGAAGTAAGCCCACTTGGTGTGTACTATTTTCATCACTTTTTTAGGTATTGTAGAGTCTATGTATAGGGTATATAAAACAAATATTGACTGCTCCAGATTCAGGGAACGGTGAAATCTATAGCCCCTCAGTGATGTGGAGACCATAGCCTATCTTCCCTCAGGCCTTCGGCACAAGTTTCCACATCATCTCGTGGAAGTAGATTACACCATTCCCTTCATGAGCAGTCAATATCTGTATAATATTGGATTTGTTAGTGTTCTTTCTAGACTTTAGTAATTTATTAGATGTCAATTAAGAATGGCAGTATATTTTTAATATCTAAACAATATCAAACAATTTAACAATTCAAAAATGAATAAACAATAACCAAAATAAAATAGAAATATACCATCTGTCCCAAGAAAATAAAACATGAAAATATAATTAAATATTGGAATTGTTAATGTACTTTCTAGATTATATTAATTTATTAGATGTCAATGGTGGTATATTTTTAATAATAAGTTTTTTCTTCCACCAGAAACTTTTAAATCTCAACATGATTCGTTGATTTTGGCTTTGTTACTAAATTCTTGACTCAAAACCCTCATAATATCGGCGTGTTTCATCCTGTCATTATCCTTCTTTACTACGCCGTAATTCTCCTTCACGTACTGTGCAAACTTGCTTGGTGCTCGTGGTTTCACCGGCTTTCCGCTCTTGTCGAGCTGAGGCCTAAGGACCAGCTCGCCTCTGCAGCACCCACAGCGGTACTTGGAGGTGTCTAATGACTTTGAATGACGGCCAATCCTGTGAAATACCAACGATATTTTTATGTAAGAATTTTATGTCGGGATTTTCGCAAACTTCATTCATTTCAATTCAGTCCAGTTTATTCAATCTATCATATAAATAAATACACAAGAAATGTGTTCTGAAGCTAAGCGATCATGTGAGCACATATTTGATACTTTCAAAGTGTTCCAAACAGTACAGGAAAATACAGTAAAAAGTATTTAAGATATACTGGTATTATTAAAACACTGTACAATGATAAAATACTACAAGCAGGTAATGGAAGTAATATAAAATTATTGCATTTATGTTTAAAAAACAAACCAGGTTAAAATAGTGTAAAATTATTGCATGTGTCTATAAATCAATCAAATGGAGAGAGTGTACAGATATCTAAAGAGCAATTGTCCCAGTGGTTGTGGCTTAAGCTCTCTATTTTGAGGTTGAGAGTAAACCCCTTGCTGTGCATTCCATTTGTGTCCTTGAACAAGGAACTTTTACCTACACATATTGAAATTATTTTTATCGCATTTTTATACTTTTTTACATGTTGGGTAAACACCAAACTTTTCAATTTGGCTTTCTTGCATATTCTTGATGTTTTTTTTTCCGTAATAACTTAATTCCGGAGGAGAGTCCTTTTCTTTGTAAATCAAAAATCAGATTGCCAAAACGACGATTTAAAATAAAAAATGCTAGACAGGGTATAAATATAACAGTAAGTTTTAATTTTGAAGACATGCCTCGGTTAAAACATTAACCATCATAAGTTCAACACAAAAGAAATAAACAGAAAACACTCCTATTTAACTAGAAAAGTTATGCATATGCATAATGTAGTCTTTGTATTACTATGATGTGATTATGGTGAGTAGTGTAAAGTGACTATGGTCAGATATTTAAAATAGATGGCTTATGACCATTTTATGTTTAGGGCTTCTTTGATTGCTAGTTGAAACTCTGTGTTGGCTGTGTCGATGATTTGAAAACAGGCTTCATTACATTTTTTACCACATTCAAGATTGTTTTTGAGATGTTGGAAAACTTTAGATTTTGTATCCCTTGTTAGGTGCTCAACTTTTGAATAGTATTAAAAAATCTGAACAAAGAAATCATGCCTCCAAATCTGATCAAACATTGCCTTGATTCTGACAAAATCTGATAGACTATGCCTGATTTTGCCCATATATATTAAATTCAAGGTGTATGTACACGCTTATCAGAAAAACAAAAATACTGGATAATCTCCTGACCTACAGGCTATTAACATTACAAGAAAGCCTCGTTCACACTAGAGCAAATTAGATGTGTTTTAAAGTAAACGCAATGAATGCTTCGTCTAAGCAGTCCCCAATCTAACTTTATGTGACCCACTTGAAATTATAAGCAATCGTTGGCTACCGCAGCCTGACAAATGCAAGCATCAACCAAAATAACTTCCGTAAGAATGGAATGAGACAATAGTGCATTAGCATTTGAAGTGGTCTAGAGTGAACGGAGCTTTATAGCCCCTCATACTGTAAAAAAAATAATAATAAAATGGCATGTTGCTCCACTTACGTGTAACCACATTTGCTGCAGTCATACTTGTACTTTGTGTTGATCACATAGGAATGGCACCTACTAATTATCGGGATTTCAGGATGTGCAATGTTGGCTTTTGCCGCCCTAAAGGAGAAAAAAAAAGGAAGAAAAAATCACAACTAGGGAGCATTTTTATGCCTATTATTTGCAAAATGAACAGACAATTATTACCTCCGCCAAGGAGATTACGTAGTCACAGCTGTCTGCCTTTTTGTCTGTCTGTCAACAAGATTTTGATTAACTTAAAAAAACAAGGTCAAGGAAATTTGATTCTTTACCCTCAAGCATAAAAGAAACTGATGGAATTGCCCATACAAGGCCTGCATATTGTTCGGTGTTCTGGTACAGGGCAGCGGTATGCACTCTATGGAGTTGCTGCTCTAGTTAAATATGTTGTAATTCAGTTGAGTGAGGGTAAACCAGATATGACATCATCACAGATCTACTCACCAGTACTTCCAGAATTTTCCATGACCATCACTCACACCGTGGATCAACCATGCTGCCGCATGGCACAACTCATGGATCAAGGTGTCCCGTAAACGTTCTATAATGAAAATTAAAAAAAGAACAAATAAAAATAAACTTTATTTTCATAAGTAATTTATAGACCTCCATCGAGCATAACAAAAAGTATCATTAGGGACCAATGGCCATCTCTACTAGAAAAGTTTAGAGACAATTTTATGCCAACATTTCTTTAGACAACATTTTTCTATGCTTGTTAAAAATGTAAACATTCCAAGGAGGAGCATATATACATATATAAATTTGTCTTATAAACACAATTACTCTCTACAAACAGAAAAAAACTCAGTAACCTATCCAGAAAAAAATTTGAGATTGACTAGCTGTGTACTAAGTGTAATATTAAATTGTAGAAGTGGTTGGCGCATCGGTTGTGGCTTGGACTCGCAACCTCGAGGTCGGAGGTTCGAAACTCACGCTGTGCAAATCGCTTGTGTCCTTGGGCAAGGCACTTTATCTACGGTTGCCTCTCACCACCCAGGAGTACAAGTGGATACCTGGTAGGTTCCAACACAACTGCGCTGATTACTAGCTGCAATATTATGGAATAATAATATAATTTAATTTAATAAGTTAATTTGGTATTGAGTATGTGTTCCATATGTGTTTGATCCAATGACTGGGGTTAGTAATGTGAAGCGCTTAGAGGCATTGTGCATGAAGCGCTATATAAGAGCGAAATATTATTATTATTATTAATGTAAGGTAGTTAGTTTTAGATAGTGCTTTATACCGAAGTCACAAAGAGCTCAAGGGAGTGGACTACCTCATATAGTAACTTGCTTCTCCCTTTGTGTCTAAGCTACCCTGCAAACCGGTACCAGCTACTCTCATCTTTCCACAAAAGGGGATGTAGAGACCAGTATACTGGGGTAACCCCCTGCTTATCTTGAAAGATGTAGGCCTACTGGGTTCGGTGAGTCAAATGGGCGAGCGGTTAGCAGGGGCGCTGCAAGCTATAGCCATAATATCGGCGCTGGTTCGAACGGCACGCT